CTTATCATAGACATAGACAAACACTGCGTCCCGAAATTTTGTTACCATTCAGTGTATTCTCGTCTTATTCGATTCTTACTTGTCAGGATACGCACTGTTAAATACTTCTCGAACGGTAGAAAACGATATTGATGTTCGAGAATGAACGCACTTTCCGCTCGTGAGTACGCCATGTTATCACCTGCTCTATTGCTCAGTTGGCGCTAGTAGTAAGTAGCCTGGCAACCACTAACCTCGAAGCTTTCACCGTCTGATGAATATGATTGAAATGTGAGCATGGACGTTGTTTTATTTGGCGTTCATTCAGTGGATATTGTTATTATGCTATTGATTTGTTTAGAAACCAATGTGCCTTTTCAGATGTTATGTAACACATAATAGGCCTGTTTTTACTGTATGGATACATACGTATTATTGAAATATTTGTTATTTAGATGAACGATCATTGGTAATTATATATACCATTTACTTTTAACAGTCAGTAAATCTGCGTTTATATTTATGGGTTCCGCATGATTTTCAGAATAAACATTGATTATTTTCCCAAGCTTCATTAACGAGTTGATCTCTGTAATGGAGACGTTTTGTGTTTTCCTTTCGGTACGGAATGAATTATTTAATTTTGCTTAGACGAGCTTCGTTTTCAAATAAGTTAAAGGCGATATATGTAGAGCTGCCATATTGATAGGACGTATGATTAATTTAGTTCCTAAACTTTATATTATTATGCTCGTAAGTTTTAATTAACATGTCCTTGAACGCCAGACGTTAAACGTGGCACAGTCGTGTGGACGACCAACCCTGGGATCATTTGCACCGCTAGTTATATTGAAGTTTTTCCACATGTACGTACTAGACTGGAAAAAAGATAACTTTGACTACCTTAGCATTGCATTAATCAAGAATTTAAATTTTATGCCTATTACGTATTGGGCCAACTCACATGCGAAATAAAACACTAAAAGTGTTGAAAGGAAAGGAAAGTGAGAGAAAATTAAAAGAAACAAAGATATATTATTTGAATCTTCTGTCTGAAAAAGAACCAAAATAATTTATTTACGTTGGACCCGGTATTGATGTTTCATTTGGTAACTTTACTGTTAATTTCCGCCAGTCGGCAGACTTGTAGCTTAAAAGGCCTAACGCGAAAAGTGCGTGTGTGCGGGCAAGTTGTTGGGTATTGATTGATATTAGTAGTGGGTGTTGGGAGTTCACTCACCCTCAGAGGTACAAGCACTTACGTGTGAAGGAGGCTGCTGTTACCGTCTGCAATTTCATCCACCTGCCCTGTTTTCTAGACGACACCGTAAGAGAGGAAATCAATACTTGCAGAATAACCCGTGACTTGAAAGGCGAGTTCATTTCCAGGTTATCAAAATCAGTGCGTTTTTATCTAAAATATATAAAATCATGCATACAAACAAGCCTAACGCGTTTGGTATTGAGCGTTTATCAAAGTGTAAACAGTTTTGTTTGTTTGCATGATTTTATATATTTTAGATAAACGTTCAACACTGAACGGTTTACAAGGTTTTAATATCAGTACGTTACTTTATTCGCCTAATAGATATTTGTTTACCAGGTTCGTATCACAGACGTGTTATGCTAGTGCTTTCGTAATAGGACAGAGATTTTTAGATTTCAGTTATTTGGGCTAGTTTCTTTAACGACGTGGCGATGTTCATGCCTGCCAGTGGTATGCAATATTTCAGATGTGTACTCCTGAAAATATGGCTGTCTACTGGGTTGTTAAGCCGTGTAGTATGGCGGAAGTTACCGACGTTTCACATGCGATCGGAGTAACCAGCTGTGAAGCGCCGGCAAACTTTTGCCAGACTGCACGGCCCAGAAGACTGTAATTTTCGTATTCGCCGCCGTGAGAAACTGTGATCTAGCTCAAGAGAAGGTTCAGTGGTGTGTTATTATGAAGTAGAACCTTCCAGTTCCGTAAGAGAGGGAAATTTTTGACCGGCTGGACAGGTGTTGGTTTCTCAAGGTCATTGCTGCAGACTTAGTTCCCGCGTACGCCCAGAGAGAACGCTACTGTCCAGCAGCTTGTGTGCACACTGTTGGTGCGCTGCAGAATAGACATGTTAGGCTCGATGCACACGAGCGAGTTATTTTGGCGAGCTAGCCGCGTCATTTTCTCGCGCGTTTTAGCAGTACATGTGAAGCAATGGAGCAACGCACACTATGGCGGTGACGCCGCGAGGACGCGGCGAGCTATTTGAGCTCGCCAACCACTGCTGCTTCGCAGCGAATTCGCCGATCGCCTCGAAGCAGCAGACTGTGTGAGAGCATTGGGTGCACACGTGGTTCGCAACCCTCGCAACAGCTCAGAGTCACAACCAGCATTTCTAGAGGAGGTATTGCAAGCCTCATCGCAGAATCTTTACTTTTGATGGATGCATCCAGTTTTGCTGCTAGCTCATCAAACGACTTTATACTCATACGAAAATAATTATGAAATTTACTTTCGTCTTCTCTTAAATCTATAAAAACTGTCACGAACGCCCCTTTTAACAGCCGTGAACTAACCAACGGGTGTGTCCAATACTTCCTATTGCGTTTTTTTAAGGATGTATTCATAAACGAAATAGGCAAACACTACACGTTTTCTTCTGTACACATCCATTTTGGTTGCCATCCAATCTAGCACTGGTGGGAGTTTTTCCGGCGAACTCGCAGCGATGACGCTACGTGTGCACTGTCACGGGTTTCCTCGCTGCGAGCACGCGCGGCATTTTCCCGCTCGTGTGCACCCGGCCTTAGAAGACTTCGCTCGTCACATGGGCACACATCTCCATTCTTGTAGACAAAAGGGAGTTCGCGAGTGTAACTCCTGTCTCAGATAAGAGAGCAGGGCTCGTTGCACGCATGAGTGAGATGTGGAAGCGAGTTATCAATCGAGATAAGGTTGGACGGCCAAAGGGTTTTTCGAAACTTTCCACGATTGTCTGTAAATGGAAAGTTGCGACATTTGTAATTTTTGAAATAGCTAAAAAGTAAACAAATTACAGCTTTCCACATCCTCTGTACTTCAGCGCCAGATGGCTTCATATCCTTGCTCGATTCCACTCTACGTGTTCTCTATATTGTAGTTAGTGTTGCATGAAAGATATTTCGAAACGCTTACATGAGTCATATTAGGTGACTCCATTCTCTGGTTTTCATGGCCGAGATGACACACAGACCCTTCACGTTGTAAATAATCTTCGTAGATCAGTCCTTCGATTTACGAGCGTAATTAGTTTATGAATCGAAAACAATATTGCTATTTATTTCAGTGTAAAAATGCGGGTTCCAAATACATCACCCAAGAACAGGCTACTATACAACATAAAATAAAAACAACTTTGGTTTTTATAATGGTTATCACTTATTTGACCCAGTAAAACACCATTTAAGTATTAAAACAAACAGCAGCTACTTTAATTACAGTACACATCAGAAGTTACGTAAACAAAGAATCAACTACAATTGTTTATTGTTTTTTCTCGTCATTGATTCTCTGTTTTATTATACGTAGAGTGATTAAGGTTTTAACAAATACGACTATCGCCTTTATTAAACCCTAATTACTATAGTGTGGCAATCATAAATAATCAGTGATAAATTAATTCGTTCTTCGTTGTAGCGAAAATTTGTAAACCGGAAGTTAGTAAATCGAAGGTTAGGTTTAATGACGTTGCTGTCAGTAGTAGCAACCTTTGAATGATTTGCAGGAGCGTTACATGATATCCGTGCCGGACAGGTGACTTGAGACAAGGAAATTAACAGGCAGTGGGTGTTTTTTATGTAGAAATGGCGTCACATTGCATCAGGTAGCGAG